AACCTTGTTTATGACATGTTGCTCGTTTTTAAACTGCAGGATCTCCAGAGTCTTGTAATTAGACTTAGAAATGTGGTCCTTAACTAAACCAGTTAATAGTAATTTTTGATGAGTTGTGGATTCCATCTTCTTTAGCTGGTTTTTGAATCACTCAGTTTTCAGGATTTGAGTTTCATATTTGGAGAATCTATGAAAATTATTGAGATATCAAGTGGTATATCAAGTTTTTCAGTCCATGTATTTTTTTTCTAATCATAGAGATAGAATCAAAGTAGGCCAAGTTTGTAGTTTTTCTTCTGTTTTCTGACTATGAGAAGCTCTGGATTTATAGCCTTAGCCTTTCCTCAGTTCAATTATCACGGTAATATCTTGCACTAGCTAGTGTACATACCTTAGATGTGCACCTGTTGTGGAGAAAGAAGCATAATAGAGTAAGTACATAAAATCTAGATCTGATTTGACAAGATGCAGGGTGAGTAAATTTGGAGGCATCGACATGGTAATTGGTATCAAAATATGAGAACTATTACAAAAAGTCAGATTAGAGTTGGAGATGCTTGGTTTCATGGAAGTGAAGGATTTCTCACTTTTAGATGTTGGTGAGTGACCTATGGGGATGAATTCTCTGGACTGGGATGATTTTTATTTATTAAGTCGACATTTTTCGATAGTTTATTGTGTCATAGATATGTCTGAATCAACGCTAAATCCCATAAGATGTAGGGTGAGTAAGATGGAGGTGAAAGATTTCTCGCTTATCTTGCTTCATACACTTACTTTTAGGTTTTGGTGTGTGGTCTATGGGGATGAATTCTCTCGACTAGGATGATATCTATTTATCAGGTCAACATTTTGCGATGGTTTATTGTGGCATAGGTATGTCTGATATCAATGCTATATCCCATAGGATATGTTTATTCACTTGACTGGTGGTTGGGAATCATACAAGACCAAGTTTTGTATAGCTCGATACCTTAAAAGACTATGCATCCTCCAAATAGCTTTTAAGTCTGACTTTTACTCATAAACTTAAGTCAATTGAATGGGTTGGGTCCATATCACTTTCCTATGGTAGATGTGGCTTTGTTATCATTGGGATGAAGAATCATGTGGTATTTGCTATCCTAATGACTCGTGTCTGTGGAATGGTTTTGAGACATATAGATAGTGTATTAAGTGGGTCAAATCAAGTGGATAGACGCATTTCTGTTTGCGACCTTTGTGCATTTATCACTATCAAGTATATATGCGATAAGTTCTGGACCGGACTTGCAATTCATTACTGGGAAACCATTTTTGCTGTCTAGTGACTCTTTGGTTCTTTCTAGTGATTGTGACACATAAGTAACTTAACAATCTTTGGTTATGGATGATTCTTAATGTTTTTTTGGATAAGTAGGCATAATTCACATTCCACCGAAAAAAAGTTACTTAACAAAGACAAGTTTGATGAACTCAGTGAGATGCTACTGAAAAAAAGTGAGATATATTCTCTCTGTATACACTTTGTGCTACAGGCAAAAATTGATGTATCTTGTACTCAGATCTAAAACCTTCTATTCTAATTGGAGCAACAAATTCGGACTAGTTGCTTTCTCTAAAAGTGTTTACTCTTCCTTCAGGTTCTAGAGGAGCAATCCTGATGATTACGCTCT